AGGAATTAATTTTACGGCGATTACAACCTCAGTGATTAGTGTACTGACAGACGATGCCACATGTCAGCTGGGAACGTGTCACCAAACAGCCTTCCTCCTGCTCGACCTCTCACTCACCCTAAAACCTCGAACGTGAAGTGTCTTGAATAGCACCGGTCTGTGATGTAGTGTTGTAGCGTTAAAAAGGTTATATTACACTTCTACACCGTTATATAAGGTTATCTTACACTGCTGTACCGTTATATAGGGTTATCTTAACTGCTGTACTGTTATATACGGTTATCTTACACTGCTGTACCGTTATATAGGGTTATCTTACACTGCTGTACCGTTATATAGGGTTATCTTACACTGCTGTACCGTTATATAGGGTTATCTAACACTGCTGTACCGTTATATAGGGTTAACTAGATGTGTGGAGATGTGGATGGATATGGTGTGGTGTGTGGAGGGTGTGGAGAGTGAGGAGTGTGTGCAGGAGGAGGTGTAGGTGGAGTGTGTTGAGTGTGTGTCTGATGCGGTATATGTGGAGTGTGTGGAGTGTGTAGGTGGATGTGCTGGGTGAAGAGTGTGTGGAGGTGAAGAGTGTGTGGAGGGTGTGGATGGAGAGGAGTGTGTGGAGGAGGAGGTATAAGTGGAGTGTGTCGTAACCTCAGGCTATAATATACTATAGTAACATAATCTAAAAATCATCTGTAGTGAAAAATAAATTTGATAATGGAACTAATTTTCCTAACACAGTCAATTCATTTAATTTGTCATTTATTAAATCCAAAATCAACCTAATATATCATGTCGGATGATTAACTAATTAGAGAAAAATAAATATATTTTGGGGCGGAATATTAAATTCATTATACCTCTTAATTATATACCAAAAACCTCGATCTTTGGAATAATAATATCCATAATTATACTAAAATTAATTATACCAATATTATCGTTGTTGGTTTATTTTACTAAAATTTTAAATATATATGAAATAAGAAAAAAAATAGTAAAAGTTTATTTTCACTCAGAATAGTTGTTGAGTGTAAAGTCATACCTGTAGTGTTGTTGTGCAGGTGTGTTATCAAGCATACAATACCTCGTTCATCAGCTGACTCACACGAAGAAAAAAAAACGAAAAAAGTAAATGTGTGTGTGTGCGTGCGTGCGTGCGTGTGTGTGTGTGTGCGCGCGTGTGTGTGCGTGTATGTGTGTGTGTGTGTTTGTTTAAGTCTTGCTGAAGTTTGTACTCAAGGTGACGAGCCAGAAAAAGTCTCGTCTCCATTTATCAGAATTTACTAATGATGTGTCTAGGGTGGAGGGGGAGGAGGGAGGGAGGGAAGGAAGGAAGGAGGGAGGGAGGGATGAAGGGGATAGATATAGCATGTGTGTGGATGTGAGAGAGAGAGAGAGAGAGAGAGAGAGATAAAGTGAACAAGACTCGGGCCATTAAATCCTCTTAGACATATGTTCTCCTCTCGCTCTTCTTCATTTTTAATACTATTCTTTTTTCTCTCTCTCTCCGTTTCTCTAATCCTCTCTCTTGTTGTTCTTGGCCAGAACTGATTTCTCTCTCTCTCTCTCTCTCTCTCTCTCTCTCTCGTGATGGTTCCTGGTATCGAAGAAGACGATGTTAGGTTAGGTTAGGTTAGGTTAGGTTAAGTTAGGTTAGGCTAGGTTAGGTTAGGTTAGGTTACATTAAGTTAGCATGTGATTATGTTCACCCCTTTAACCTTCTTCCAGACTCTATAATGTACAGTACTTTCATAGGAACAGCAACTCATAGTACAAAAGGACCTCCCCAGTACATAAAATTTTCTAAGTTCTGTGAAGTCTAAGGAGTTATGAGGTGGGGTTTTTTTTTTTTGGTCTCTCACTCTGTCATTCTTCCCAACACACAAATATATCAAACATCTTGCTATGTATACTACTATTTTTTTTTAATGGTTAAATTTCTTTCGTTATCCATCTTGTTACAACGAGACACTTTCTATTGAATTAGCATATTCTCATAACCCGGCTTAACCTCTTCGTTTCACCTGCCACCGTACAGTATTCCTGCTTCCTTGTTTTCAGGGTCATTTTCACTCGTGCTTCCTTTTCAAGTCTGACATTTGTGCAAGATTTATGATAATTTATGAACTAAGGTCATTAAATTTTTCCGCTACTGGGTTTTACTGTTGTGGAAATTTGGGTAAGCAGGTGCACGAGACAGGAGGTGGGCAGGTGCGTGAGACAGGGGGTGAGTAGGTTCACGAGACAGGGGGTGGGCAGGTACACGAGACAGGAGGTGGGCAGGTACACGAGACAGGAGGTGGGCAGGTACACGAGACAGGAGGTGGGCAGGTACAGGAGACAGGAGATGGGCAGGTAACGTGGGTGATCTAGGAAACCTTTTAATGACTTGTGGCTGAGCTTCTGGTGGCCACACGCTACGCCTACCTGCCGCCTAATTAATCACTTTACTCGTGCATACCTGTGTGAAGGCCACTGGGACGTGAGTTATTAATGTAATGTGATAAAGGTTGTGGTGGTTATGATTAGCAGGGAGTAGCCATTAGAGTGAGGATAATGCTGCTTATTATTATTATTATTATTATTATTATTATCATTATTATTATTATTATTATTATTATTATTATTATTATTTAAGTGATGAAGGAAGAGGTTGTAATGAACGTTTGAGGTGATTCTGGTGACTGGTGGTTATTACAGACTAGGACAGTGCCTTGACAGTCTAAGGCAAAGCATAGTATATCTCGAGCAGTGACTTGACAGTGCCCCCTTACAGCACCAAAGATATGGTTAATGAGGAGTCAAAGACAAAACTGTGCAAATCAGTGACTCAGAAGTGATGCCTTGACTGTGGTGGTCGGTGCACAGAATCATGTAGAGTCTGTAGGTAAGGGGCAAGTGGGAGATGGTACAGTGACGACTGGTGCCCCTGGGAGCGGACCAACAGCCATTAACCTCCTGATGGTGTTTTAACTCGGAAATATGTAACCTAACCAAACCTAATCTATCTAAACCTAAATTAACTTAACTTAACCAACCTTACCTTACCTTACCTTACCTTACCTGACCCTAATGACAGTTATGGTGGCAGTAATAGTATTTTTAATTTAATTTTGAGGATGGTGATGAATGGTGATGTGACTCCAATGATAGGAAGATGGTGAAGATGATGTGTTAGGGTATGATGATGATGGTATGTGTGTGTAGTGCTGATGGTGGTGGTGCTGGTAATGGTGACAGTGTTGATGGTGATGGTAATGGTGAGGGTAATGATGATGGGTGTCAAATGATGGTAATGGTGGTCAATTGGTGGTAGTGATGATGGTGATGGTTGTCAATGATAATGATGATGATGATGATGATAACCGTAGCTCCAGATGAGAAAACAATGCAGTACAACAACAACAAACTGTACATCCGGTAACCTCAAATAATCGTACGGGAATATCTTCATCTTGGTGATAAACTGTGTTCTTCCCCCACATCACAATATAACGTTAACTGCTCTATTTGGTAATCTTGCGTGCGTGTGAGGGGAGGGAGGGGAGAGGGGTGTGGGCGGGGGGGGTGAGGGGTGTGTGGGGGGATGTAGGGGGAGGGGGGGTGTGTGGGGTGGGGTGGGGGAGGGAGGTGGGGTGGGGGAGGGGTGGGGGGAGGGAGGAGGTGTGTGGGGAGGAAGGGGCGGTGGGGGGGTGGGGGAGGGAGGGTGTGCGAGGGAGGAGGGGGGAGGTGGGGAGGGAAGGGGCGGGGGGGGAAATATTACGCATTCTCTGATATCAGTTGGTCAGGGAGAGGCTGGAGAGAGGATGCAGGTGTGTTTACTTGGCTTAAGATGACAATTATCTACGTTACTGAGTCTTTCCTCATCTTTCGCTGACCTCTCTCTCTCTTCTTTTGTGTTATCTTTCTATACTTTTTATTGTACTTTTTTCATTATTTTTATTACCTTATCACTAACATTTTCACTCTACTACTCCCGCCTCCCACCACCGTCACAACCAGCACTACTAAATAGCATTACACCACCCATTACCAGGTCCCCATCACTATTCTCCCATCTCCAACATCTATCACCACTACCCATCATCACTCCACCATCACCACTCTCTCCCATCATCACCACCCATCACCCCTCCACCCATCACCACTCCATCATTATCACTCACCCATCACCATCCCCCATCACCACGCCCCCATTACCAATCACCAAGCGCCACTCCACCCATCACCACCACCACCCATCGCCACTTCCCCACCCATCCCCATTCCACCCATCACCCACCCATCTCTCAGCCTCAGTAATGGTGGTGTGGTCAACTCTCTGGTTCATCGCCGTAAGATTCTGCATATTCATCACCTCGTCATTTACATTAGTCATAAGTAATGTTGTTATCCGGTGGTGGGAGCCCTGGTTGGTCGCCGCCGCCAAATTATAGTCTGGTTGAGGCCAATATTAGAAGGCGTGTCTCCCTGTTATCACCTACTGAGGGAAACTTCGCCACTGTATACTTTTGTACCTAATTTACTTTAATGACGGTAATTTTTTTTCTTTCTAGTATTTTTTCAATCGTTCTAAAATATTTAGATAATTAGAGGCAGCATATAATTGTCCTTACGTTTTCTTTCTCGTATTGTAACCTAAAGCTCAGCGATGATTGGTCGCTGCAGAGTCACGTGACCGTAACGAAGACCACGACTTCCGCGTCCAAGGAAATTTCTCACTGAGTTTCGTCTTCGTTTTGTTGGTTTGGTCTTAACTCAGCTGGGTGTATGTGTGACCGTACTGCAAATACATCTTTGGTTATTTTTACTGGTGAATATTTCTGACTTCATGACTGAAGCTGAAAGATAAGGAATTATTTCAGGATGTATTGAGAGCCTTGGCGGTCATCACAAGAAGTAGAAAGTTATTGAACGAAAAAAGTGGAAGAATCTCGTGAATTTGGATCATCGGCGTGAAGATGGTGGTCGCTAGACTACAGTACAGTATAGAGCACTAGCAGTGCCTTGGTCATTTGCCAGTTTGCCCGCGCCTCAGACGGGCTCCAGCTGCGGGGAAACTAGCCTGGCGAGCCACCACGGAGAGAGTGGCCAGAAAGTTGTGGGACTCACACTTGCGGGAAACAGTGCCGTGCTGCTGATAGAAAGTCTCAAGGTGCAGTGAACTGGCGCCAGTGTAGTCGTGACGCCCCGCCGGCAATACTCTTGTGCAACATCCAGGAAGTGGCCTTGTGTCTAACTCTGCCATTGACCTTGGCGGGTCGCGCTGGCAGCGTGCCGAGCGGGACCGTTGACCCCGCCAGTGACTTGACAACATGCAGCCATAACGCACACCAAGGACATCACAGGCAGGACAAGTAGCGGACTCACAACAGGTGTGACGCTCCTCACCGCCGCGGACACACTCGCCAGTGACTTTCGCTGTGTCGCACCTCAACATTATGGATACGGACCCTCCATCAGTGTTTTCCAGCCTTTAATGTGTAAGCTCTTTGTGGTGTGTATAAACTGAAGCTCTGTTAGTGATTGTGCTTATAAACATCGGGATGTCGGTTCATACAGGAGAATACTGGTCGGGCCGAGACCCGTCTCAACAATATTATCCACTGGGAGAGTTCAACTACAACACAGAAAATTATCCTGGCGCTACGCTCTCTCCTGGGTTGGAGGGGACGCCAGCCACCGCCATGCCCACACAACTAGGTCCGCCGCATCAGCCACATGACCTGCTACAAAGTTGTGTTGACGGCGGAGGTAGTGATGGGTACCACAGCTCCACACCCGATGATTTGACCTCTGAGTGCTCGCCAAGGTCAGAGCTGCCAGGCCCTGGGTCGTCGGGAGGCAGTCGCAACAAGGATCTTATGTCTGAGGCGTACCCCAACCTGGAGTACTACCAGGCCGCTTATCCCACCACAACTGACCTCAGCAGTCTTACGCCAGCCTACTCCTACGCCAGCAGCAGCACTACGTCCGTCAGCAGCTGGGGCACCACACAATACAGTCCCTCCGAGGGGGACGCCAACCCTCACCAGGAGCACTTCATACCCCCTGAAACGTCGCCCTCCCTGGTAACACACTATAAGCCTCTCAGAATACGCCGGAGGCCTCCTAAAGTCGTAGGCAACGAAGTCATCCGCAAAAGACGACTTGCTGCAAACGCGAGGGAAAGACGGCGGATGAACGGCCTGAATGACGCTTTTGAGAAGCTTCGGGAGGTTGTTCCGGAGCTCGGGAACGACAGGAAACTCTCTAAATTCGAGACGCTGCAGATGGCGCAGACGTACATCACTGCCCTAGCGGAGCTGATAAGAAGAGCAGACTCTGAGAGCGGTGCTTCATCTGCCTGATACCAGGACACAGGTAGGGTAAAACTAGGGAAAATACACTTATCAGTAATAGCGCGACCTTTGTGCTCTTGAAGCTTGATTAAAGTTCAAATGTATAGAAGTAGAATTATATTTTTATAAGTCTATCCACGCAGAATAATGATCAGCGTTCATTCTGTAACAAAACCTTTTTTTTCTGTCGATATATGTGTATTTTTCTGTTGTTTTCCCTTACCTGTGGCCAAGACCTTCCCTGTGAGGTCACTGTTGTTGCTCTCTTGTTGTTGTCCTCACCTCTAGGCCAGATACCAGTATTATACTAATAAATTAAAATATTTTCATAGATATATGAACAAGGTTAACTACAATGCAGAAAGTACTAATATACAACAAGTTGTTTTGTACATATCTAATTATTTAGACACTTTAGCTAGATTAATTTATTGCTAATTTGTAAAGATATATCACTTGTACAGACCATCCCACATGATACTGATTGCAGCGCCCACTTTTTGTGCTGATGTGATACGAGGCTGTAATTTATTTCAGTGAAATATATATGTAAATATGATATAATATAAATGTGTATACAGATCCGAAAAGTCACTGTTAGTGTTAAATTTTGATAATATATGAAACCCATTGCAACGTTAATTTTATTTCAAACCTTACTTAAACTACATCATGGATTATAGATATTTACAAACACAGAAAGAACAACACTGATGATAAACGATGAAAATCAAGATAATAAAAAGATTTTATTCACTCAGAAAAGATAAACACTGAACAATTACCTTAAGGATTATTTTGATGGTTAATTGGCGAGAGAGAATTAATGTTCACACACACACACACACACACACACACACACACACACTGTAGAGTCAAGCATGAGTATATAGACTGTGCCAGGAGCTCATGATCAGGTGTCTCTGGGTAAACACAACCATAACCTCTGCTCCAGGTGTGAGTGCAGTGCATATACAGTGGCTGTCAGGTGGACCACGGGGTCAGTTATGGTATGCTAACACTGCCTAGATGACCCCAGAGCCCTTATAAGTTGTAGATCCTTTACTGGAACCTCAGAGCAGAGCCTTGTTAATGGAGCCTAGGTACCGGGAACCCAAAATACGAGTATTAATATGTACTGTGAAAATGATTCCTGTCAACCTTTGGTAATGAGAGTAATACCTGAGATCCTACAGACAGGTTTAGGTGTACAGAAAATATCTCATAAGCCTTGAAGGAAATTGGATCGTTTTCATGACATACAAACAAATGTCTTTAAGAAGTAAAATAACACAACACGTAAACTACAAACTCCTATGCAAGTATTTCTAGCTGTTAGGTGTCGTGTTTAACATTGAAGAAATATAGAAATAACATTATGATACTGAAACATTATCAACCTGGTGTTAAAGTTAAGTTAATTTAAGTAAAGTTATGTGAGGTTAGAATAGGTCAGGTTAATTAGGTTAGATTAGTTAGGTTAAGTATGGTTAGGTCACATACTGTAAGATATCCTCCAAGTTAAAATTCATCTAATACCGTAAGTTAATATCTATCTTAATCTAATGCTGCATGTATCGATGACAGGAACCTAGACTGAAGGTGCAAGAGACAGGTGATGGTTGTGACTCACCTGCAGTTGATTGGTAACATAATCACCTGAATACTGTAGAACCTTAACATAGTCAACTGAATACTGTAGAACCTTAACATGTGGTAAAACAAAAGCAAAAACATAGAAAAACAAATTATATTCTTCGTGATTTTAACTAATCTATTTTTACTAACCCTGAAATGGATTTTTTTTTATACGCAAATATTACTAGACTGAGAGATAAACTGAACAGTCTAATTGGAACAAACAAACAAAAAAGAAAAACAAATATTTAACTTATTTATACTTTTAATTTCAAAACGATGATTATATATTTATCGAGACATATATCAAGTCATATAGTTATTTAGAAACATATAGTTTGTCATATATTTAATTATTTATACACGAAAAGGTATTCCGAAACATATTCATTTCCGATCAGGTGTTTACTGCCTGATATGTGATGTTAGTAAACATTTAGGCATGTGTGGAGGAAAAGGATATTTTTAGTCACGATTATGTAGGAAAAATCCGTTCGTAGTCCAATATATTTATGTCAGGTATTACAGGTGTTTACATTCACATATATGTATAAATTTGTATATCTGTCACACATATGTTACGTTTTTTTTTGCGAAATCGGTTATTTTGCAAAATTACTCGAATGCATTCCGTTAATTTTGCAAAGTAACCGATTTCGCAAAATAGTAAAGAAGTTTGAGAGGATATGTACTGTACAGATGAGTATTTTTCGACACATATATACAGACAGGTAATTACTCAGGTGTGTGTGTGTGTGTGTGTAGAGGGAAGTATAACTAACCATGTACAGTATGTATTGTAGTATACATAGGCATGAAAAAGGGTTTAACCTGTGGTAACTCAAGACAACACCTGTAACTCATCACTTGTACCTCAACACACCACCTGTAACTCATCACCTGTAACTCGAAACACCACTTGTAACTTAACACCTGTAACTCAATACATCACCTGTAACTCAATACATCACCTGTAACTCAATACACCACCTGTAACTCATCACCTGTAACTCAATACACCACCTGTAACTCATCACCTGTAACTCATCACCTGTCACTCATCTCTTGTAACTAAACACCTGTAACTCATCACCTGTAACTCGAAACACCACTTGTAACTTAACACCTGTAACTCAATACACCACCTGTCACTCATCACTTGTAACTCAACACCTGTAACTCATCCATGTACATTATCACCAGTAACTCAATACACCACCTGTAACTCAACACACCACCTGTAACTCAACACATCACCTGTAACTCATCACCCGTAAATCATCACCTGTAACACATCATCTGTAACTCAACACACCATCTGTAATTCAATACAAACACCTGTAACTCAACACACTACCTGTAACTCATAACCTGTAACTCAATGCAACACCTGTAACTCAACACACTACCAGTAACTCAACACCTGTAACTCAATACAACACCTGTAACTCAACACACTACCTATAACTCATAAGCTGTAACTCAATACAAAACCTGTAAGTCAACACCTGTAACTCATCATCTGTAACTCATCACTTGTACCTCAACACAACACCTGTAACTCAACACACTACCTGTAACTCAGCACACTACCTGTAACTCAACACTTGAAACTCAACACACCACCTGTAACTCAACATACTACCTGTAACTCAATACTTGTAACTCAACACACCACCTGTAACTCAACACACTACCTGTAACTCAACACTTGTAACTCAACACACCACCTGTAACTCAACACACTACCTGTAAGTCAACACACCACCTGTAAGTCAACACACCACTTGTAACTCAACACAGTACCTCATTTAGTTTTCCACAGAGAATGTTTCCATATGGTTAACACCACTTAACGCTGCAGCTCTCACCAGACCAACATAAAAATAATCACCAATCAGCTAACAAACTCTGGCCAACCACGAGCAACCTTGTTTGTGGTGGGCGGAGCTAACCTAATGCCTGTATACATCACGCACAGTATAATGTATACTGTATTCCCTTAGGATGTATAATGTATATATATTTTATTCCGGTCAAATCATCAAAATAGGATTTATTTGACTCTTCTTATGACATATATGTCCACATCACTCGTACGGACACAAAGGGGTTTATTCATCCTACTCAGGGGGTTAATTCATCGTACTCATGGGGTTAATTCATCGTACTCATGGGGTTAATTCATCGTACTCAGGGGGTTAATTCATCGTACTCATGGGGTTAATTCATCGTACTCATGGGGTTAATTCATCGTACTCATGGAGTTAATTCATCGTACTCAGGGGGTTAATTCATCGTACTCATGGGGTTAATTCATCGTACTCAGGGGGTTAATTCATCGTACTCATGGGGTTAATTCATCGTACTCATGGGGTTAATTCATCGTACTCAGGGGGTTAATTCATCGTACTCAGGGGGTTAATTCATCGTACTCATGGGGTTAATTCATCGTACTCAGGGGGTTAATTCAACATATTAAACAGGTTAATAGCTCAGTGCTGTTGCTTATATATTACTGTTTTTCTCAATATAATTCCACACACTGAATAAAACCCTCAAATTATCCACTCACCCGTAAATTGAAACGATATGTAAAAGTTAATCAGTGTAAAAGATATCAAAGCTCTGTGTTATCGCGTCGAAGTAGATATATCAGAGTTAAACCAAGACACCAGACACAGGAAATGAAAAAAAAAGTAAAAACTCAAATAATGACTTGATTTTTCATCTTCGTAGTGAAATTATACTACAACATGACCCATAACACCTTTAGGTAATGTTTACACAGGTAGATACATGCAGAGGTAACGCATGATGACACTTATTATCATGTCAGGTGAAATGTTTAACCTTGAATATATTCCTATTACAGAATTATAGCCATATGTCTACTGGAAACTTGATAAATAATTAATATATCCACTTATATCCACAAGTATTTCTACAGCGTTATGTTCACAATGTTTGAAGAAATCAGGTAGAATGTGATGTCCTTGGTCTGCATTAAGTGGGGCTTCGTACGCTACACCAGGCAGTAAAGATGATAATATTTTACGTGTTCCTGTTGTAGGTTTGGGGAACGGAGAGGAAATGACTTATCGCCAGGGAGTTTTACAGTGGGCGTCTGGTAGTAAGTAACACAGAATTTTAAAGAAGTCATTTTGGTCGTGGTGTTCTGTGGTTCATTATTGTGTTTGTTAACCCCAAACACACGGCTAGTTATTTACCACCTTTGAATTTTTACTTAGAGTGTGTGTGTGTGTGTGTGTGTGTGTGTGTGTGTGTGTGTGTGTGTGTGTGCGTGTGTGTGTGTGTTTGCGCGTGCGTGAACTGGGGTATTTAAACATAATGCATAATGTAAGTCTAGTTTGTCTCTACAGTCCAGCAGTCTTGTGTTCTTCCTCACATATAAACATTCGCCAGACAGATTAATTCTCCTAAAATTGTGTGATAAATATAGTATTAGTTTACTTGCATATTTACATGTAGGTGTTTTGTCTCTTAGAATAAATCTACTTTTTCTTTTTAACACATGGGGATATTTGTTCCTGTGTTATATCTAAGCGCTCATCTCTTTATCTGTAAGTATTCTCTTTCATACACGTAATCCAGTTAAGTTTTGTCTTAAAGTAAGGTACATTATTTTATACGAGTGTCTGCGTGTCACCTCTATGTCGATTTTCCCACCAAAGTGTCAGTATTTTATCACACGTTTTCCTTTATGTAGATGTTCTGTCTTCTTAATGCAAGTGCTTCTTTACCTCACCAGTCATCCTCCACAATGGTCTTGTTTTTCACTCACATATCTTGAGATCACACCTGTCAGTGCTTGTGGCTGCGTGCGTCCGTCCCTCCCTTGGGTACAGTACATCTAATGTGGGCAGGTGAAGGTAGGAGGTGTTCTATAAGCTCCTTGCATCGCCCCAGTCACAACAAAGACGGTAATACTTACTGTTATCTCTCTCTCTCTCTCTCTCTCTCTCTCTC